CTAGGGTTGCCAGGTCCCTCCTAGCAACCAGTGGGGGATGGGAGGGACTTATCAGGAGAAAGAGGAAGACCCAGGTGACATTGTCAGCAATGTGGCAACATCACTTCCAGCACATACACATCACACTGCAACGCCATGGCAACACTCTGGTATTTGGGCAAAAACTCTATGGTAAAAAATGGCTTCTACCATAGAGTTGGAGCCAGAGTTTCCTTTAAGCTGAGTTAGTGTGAGCTAGCTCACAGTTTTTTAGCCTCCGGCTCACGCATTTTTGTCTTCGCTCAGGAATTATGGTTCTAGAGCAAACTAATTGATGCAGCAGCCAAATTGCTCGCTCACAACTTTAATGCTGGTAGCTCAGAAAGCAGAACTTTTGCTCACAAGAGTCCACAGCTTAGAGGGAGCATTGGTTGGAGCTGCGGTGGCTCAAGTGGTTAAGACGCTGAACTGCAGGCTGTGGAAGGTCAGGAGTTCAGCAGTTCAAGACCCGGGTGCTGCATGACGGAGTGAGTTCCCGTCTCTAGTTCCAGCTCCTGCCAATCTAGCAGTTCGAAAGCAAGAAATTGCAAGTAGGTAAATAGGTACCACTTCAGTAACCAGTGGGGAATGGGAGGGACTTATCAGGAGAAAGAGGAAGAGCCAGGTGACATTGTCAGCAATGTGGCAACATCACTTCCAGCACATACACATCACCACACTGCAACGCCATGGCAACACTCTGGTATTTGGGCGAAAACTCTATGGTAAAAAATGGCTTCTACCATAGAGTTCTTGTCCAAATACCTGAGCCTCACTGGGACGTCACCAGCTGATGACGTCACTTCCGGTGTGCACTGAAAGTGATGTAGCCGTGTCACCGGCCACACGGCCCGGACCTTCCTCTTTCTCCCGGTAAGTCCCCCCGCCAGCCAGCAAATCGGCAGTGAGGGGCGAGGCCTCGCACCCAGAGACCACCGTCTCCACCTTTGGGACGAGCAACCCTAATTGCGAGCACATTTACTTACATATGAGAAATGCCCTGACCTGGCTGGCCCAGGCTAGCCTGAACTTGTTAGGTCTCAGAAGCTAAGGAGGGTCGGTGCTGGTGCAAATTCGGATGGGAGACCACTAAGGAAGTTAGGCAGGCAATGGCAAACCACCTCTGAGGGTCTCGTGCCATGACAACGCTATGGGATCGCCATTAGTCAGGTGTGACTTGATGGCATTTTCCACCTCCTTAAGAGAAACGGGATGCTCAGAGACTCCAGCTAGTGCAGAAAGCTATGGCTAGAATAATGGTCAGGGCCATTTACCAGGAAGGAGAAGAAGAAGAGGAGATTGGATTTATACCCTGCCCTTCACTACCCAAAGGAGTCTCAGAGTGGTTTACAAACTCCTTTCCCTTCCCCTCCCCACAACAGACACCCTGTGAGGTAGGTGGGGCTGAGAGAGCTCTGAGAGAACTGTCCTTGAGAGAACAGCTCTGAGAGAACTGTGACTAACCCAAGGTCACACCAGCAGCTGCATGTGGAGGTGCGGGGAATCGAACCCGCTTCTCCCAGATTAGAGTCCGCGCTCCTAACCACTACACCAAACTGGAGCACGCAACCACAATCCTACAGTAATTACATTGGCTTCCGATCCTCTTCTAAGCCCAATGCAAAATGTTCTTTTTGATCTTTGGCTTGGGACCAGGGTATCTGAAGGGCCGTGTTCTCCCGTATGTTCCTGCTCAGGAACTAAGATCACAGAGAGAGGTTCTCTTGACTAAGGGGAGGGCCCCTGGCTCAGTGGCTGAGCATCTGCTGGGCGTCCCAGGTTCAATCCCCAGCACCTCCAGTTTTAAAAAAAGGACCAGGTGGTAGGTGGTGGGAAAGACCTGTGGCCAGTCTGAGTAGACACTACTGACTTTGATGGACCAAGGATCTGATTCAATATAAGGCAGCTTCATGTGTTCAAGACTGTCCCATCAGTTTGGTGTAGTGGTTAGGAGTATAGACTCTAATCTGGGAGAAACAGGCTTGGTTCCCCACGCCTCTGTGTGCAGCTGCCGGTGTGACCTTGGGTCAGTCACAAGTTCTCTCAGAGCTGTTCTCTCAGGAGCAGTCCTCGACAGAGCTCTCTCAGCCAGACCTTCCTCAAAGGGTGTCTGTTGTGGGGAGGGGAAGGGAAAGGAGTTTGTAAGCCGCTCTGAGACTCCGAGTGAAAGGTGGGGTATAAATCCAATCTCCTCCTCCTCCTCCTCTTCTTCTTCCTCCTCCTCCTCCTTTTCCTCTTCTTCCTCCTCTTCCTCTTCTTCTTCTCCTTCTTCCTCTTCCTATGAAGCTCATCTTTGTTTTTACCAATTCATATTCCTGTCAATCCTAGAAGAGCCAAGATATTATTTTTGCCTGAATTTTCTCCAAGGGCCATCATGCAACTACCACTTACCCGACAGCGTGATATAACACGGGAGGTTATGAATTGCTTTCCGCCCTGCCTTTCTTCCGTCAGCAACTGCCTGCCCTCCTCAGACTAGCGTGAGAAGAGTTGCCTTATGGAAATAGCACTGCCCCGCCTGACTTGTAAGGAAGGCGATGAATCAACACGAGAAACCACAAACAAGAGGAGGTGGCTGAAGTCCATTTTGCCTCCAAACACAAACGGTGAATAAAAGGAGGAGAGGATTTTTTTTTTTTTGCTTGCTTGCTGTCGTGTTGCCATCGACTTATGGCAGGGCAACACCTCAGGGTTTTCGAGGCAAGAGACGTTCGGAGGCAGTTTGCCATGGCCTGCCCCTGCGTAGCAAGCCTGGACTTCCCTGAAGAGCTCCCTTCCAAATTCTGACCAGGCCTGACTCTGCTTGAGAGCCAGTTTGGTGTAGTGGTTAAGTGGGCGGACTCTAATATGGGAGAACCGGGTTTGATTCTCCACTCCTCCACTTGCAGCTGCTGGATGACCTTGGGAAAGCCATTGTTCTGTCAGAGCTGTTCTTGAAGGAGCAGTTCTCAGAAAGAGCTCTCTCAGCCCCACCTACCTCACAGGGTGTCTGTTGTGGGAGAGGAAGGGAAAGGAGTTTGTAAGCCGTTCTGTGACTCTGAGTGAAGGGAGGGGTATAAATCCAATCTCCTCCTCCTCCTCCTCCTCCTCTTCTTCTTCCTCCTCTTCCTCTTCTTCTTCCTCCTCCTCTTCCTCTTCTTCCTCTTCTTCCTCTTCTTCTTCTTCTTCCTCCCTCCTCCTCTTCCTCCTCTTCTTCCTCTTCTTCTTCCTCCTTTTCTTCTTCCTCCTCTTCTTCTTCCTCCTCCTCTTCTTCCTCTTCCTCTTCTTCTTCCTCCTCCTCCTCCTCCTTCCGAGATCTGATGAGATCAGGCTAACCTGGGATATCCAGGCCAGGGCATGCAAGAATAGGAAGCACGTTTTTGGATCAACACTCCCCTTTCCCTTTTTACCACACAACTGGCCAAAGTAGGGTTGCCAGGTCTGGGTTGGGAAATACCTTTGGGGGTGGATCCAGGAGAGGGGTTTGGGGAGGGGAGGGGCCTCGGCAGGGTACAAGGCCACAGAGTCCACCCTTCAAAGCGGCCATTTTCTCAAGGGGAAACCAAATGATGTAAGTTAGAAAGGAAGAGGGAGTAGAAAAAATACAAAAGGTGTAAGGTCTCATCTGATGAAACCTTGAGTGAAACGGTCTATTGAGCACTGTAAGTCAGAAAGAAAACCTTGAGACCAATTTACTTCGAAGAAAACACCTTTAATGATTTGTTATTCGTTGGATAATGAAAGAAGATATATTTTCCCTCTAACAAGGTTCCGTTATCACACGGCCTTGACTTGACTTGACTAAAATTTCTCCAGGGGAGCTGATCTCTGTCAGCTGGAGATCAGTTGTAAAAGTGGGAGATCTCCAGGCCCCACCTGGAGGCTGGCAGCCATAGGCCAAAGGGAAATTTGGTTCTCCAAAGCTTATACTCCAAAAAATCTTGTTAGTCTCCAGGATGCCGCTGAACTCAAACCTTGCTGTTCTAAAGCAGAACTGTGGGGTGTTTCTGTGTCAAGCCTGCAGCGAATTTTCACAAAAAGAGTGTTTGGAGACATCCTTATAATTGTCTTTAATAGCCAGTCCATTTCTATTTGCTTTTGCTGTCGACGACCTGCCCGGTTTTTCTGGGAATGCAGCCAGTCAGTCGCACCTGACCACCCCACCTCTCCAAAACATTATTTCAGGATTGTAAAGCAATAGGATGTTGAGGTAGCAGATGAAACAGATAGTGCTCTTTTCCTTCCTCCTGCTCAGTTCCTGGCGGCATGTGAGCCTGAGGTTTTCCAACTGTGCTCCAGGAAAACCATACTCTCGTAGGGTTGGCTACTACGACTGCAGTCTGCTACTGATGTGCATTCCACAATGCATGGGCAGGAACGCACGCACACTCACCACCAGCAAAAGAGCCAATTATGTGGTGTGGCAGTGGGGGGATGATAGGGTCGCCATCGATGCTCCCTCTAAGCTGTGGAGTCTTGTGAGCAAAAAAATCTACTTTGTGAGCTACTGGCATGAAAGTTGCGATGCGAGTGACCGATTTGGCTCCTGCATCAATTAGTTTGCTCTGGAGCCACCGTTCCTGAGCGAAGACAAGAACGTGTGAGCTGGAGGCTAAAAAACTGAGCTAGCTCACACTAACTCAGCTTAGAGGGAACACCGCCTACATAAATGGTTTCAGGGGGCCCAATCCACTGCCAACCACTTGGCTGGTGGGGGGAGCCCCACCCCGAAGAGCCTTGCCGCTCCCGACATGCCCTGCACAGAGGTGATATCATCGCGCTGGTTACGTTGCACGGGGGACACTCTAGCATTTGGCTAAAAACTCTATGGTGACCATAGAGTTTTTGGGCAAATTCTAGAGCGTCCCCTGCACAACATGCCCGGCCCAAAGATCCAGGGGAGCAGCCTGGAGCCCCCTGCCGGCAGAAGGTAAGGACCTGGCAACCCTAGGGGATGAGCAGCCTCGTGGCACAGGGGACAGGTTACAGCAGGGGTCTCCAACATGTTGCCCGTGGGCGCCATGGGGTCCACCATAACTTTTCCTGGCACCCGCCAAGTGTTTGTAGAAAGTGGGTGGGGCCAGGTGGGGCTCTTGCCCAGCAAGGCTTCTCATTGGCAACTGGAGTTTGGATTGGCTGTGCAAATTTTTAAAATGTTGCCTCGGCAGCAGCTAACACCAGAAGAAGAAGAGGAGGAGGAGGAGGAGATTGGATTGATACCCTGCCCTTCACTTGGAGTCTCAGAGCAGCTTACAATCTCCTTCCCCTTCCCACAACAGACACCCTGTGAGGCAGGTGGGGCTGAGAGAGCTCTTTTGAGGACTGCTCCTGAGACAACAGCTCTGAGAGAACTTGTGACTGACCCGAGGTCACCCCAGCAGCGGCATGTGGAGGCGTGGCGAATCAAACCCGGTTCTCCCAGATTAGAGTCCGCGCTCCTAACCACAGCACCAAACTGGCTACGAGATAATCACTGACCCAAGGTCACCTAGCATGTTTCATAGCAGAGACTGGGGGTTTGAACCCAGATCTTACAGCTTACAATCTTTTTGAACCTGTGGGCACCCTTGGAATTCTGACACAGTGTGGTGAGCGCAGCCACAAAATGGCTGCCACGGGAGGTAGAGCCAATCACAAAATGTCTGCTGCAGCTTCCCTTCAGTCGCACAATGAAGGTCTTTGTGCTGTGTTGGCAGCTGTGCCACCAAAGCAACTTTTTTAAAAAAATCTGAACATCCAGTCGAATCTCCAGTGGCCAGTCAGGAGGCTTGCAGGTCAAAAGCCCCACTCCCACCCCCCACTTTCTACACCATGCCAGGGACCCCTGTTTGAGTCCAGGGTTGTAACCACAACGCCTGTAGCAAAGACATCAGTGCGGCTGGTCTATGCCATTTCTCAGAAATCCTCCCCGCCGGCTCACGTCTTTTGCTTTTCTTTGCAGCTGGTACATAAGCGGCATCAGCAGAAACAAGGCCCAACTCCTTCTCCTCTCATCCCCAAATCGGCACGGATCCTTCCTCATCCGGGACAGCGAGAGCAACAAGGGCGAGTACTCTCTTTCAGGTAACTACCACGCCTTGCCTTTCCGCTTTCCCGGGGGCATCCGCCCTGCAGACCTAAACCAGTTTAACCTACCACGGTTTCCCCCAAAGAATGATCGTTCTTAAACAACCACAGCTTCAAAATGGAAGCCAGAAATTAAACCATCCCTAAACTCAGGGCTCTAGTCGGGGGGGAGCTCTCAGGTACGGAGCTCCGGAAGAGAACCTCTAGGGGGCGGGGCCGTCACGTGGTGAAGCCCCGCCCCCTTCTTTACCCCGCCCTCTGCTTCGATCCTCATTCCGTTTGGGAATGAGGATGAAGCAGGAGGGTAAGTAGCCGGGCCTTCTGACACACTTCCGGTGATGTCAGGGGGTGTGGCCTTCTGTCACTTCCGGTGATGTCAGGGGGCGTGGCATATGCAAATAAGTTATGCTAATGAGTTATGCTAATGAGCTCCGGCAGCTCTTTTTCTACAACAAGACCCCTGAATAAACTTATGGTACAAAAAGTTACGGGATTTATACATAATGGAAGAAATATCCGACATAATGAATCCAACAAAATCTAATGGTGAATATAGTGAATTTACAATGATGTGGCTACCGATTTTATCCCATCTAGTTTCTCAAGGAACAAGACCAGAGATAATAGACCCTCTTCATTTGTGCTAAATGTTGATGTCAACACTAAGCTTATGAAAAATGCTCTCTTTTATGCTGTTAAGTACACTTATCTTGTCAATGATTGCTATTACTTGTTATTGGAATTCTGAAAACTGAATAAATTATATTGGAAAGCCAAAGGAAAAATAAAAGAATGATAGTTCTTTAGTTGTTGTAGATTTTCCAGGCTGTGTGGCCGTGGTCTTGGCATTGTAGGACCTGACTTTTCGCCAGCAGCTGTGACTGG